CCTGAACAACGGGGAGCTCTTGGTCCCCAGACTGATAGCTGGGAAACCAGCATGGGACTTATCCAGACCCCAGGAACCTGGGTGTCAGTGAGGAGACCTTGGAAATCTATGGGGCCTCTTGTAGTGGATCGGTACTTAACACTACCATAGGAATGGACTTTAGGAGCTCTAAATGCCCTCTCCTGATAATGAGACTGATGACTAATTTATATGCCATCGCATAGCCCTCATCCAGCAGCTGGTGGAAGCAGAAGCAGACACCCACAGCTAAACCTTGAACTGTACTGAAATCCAGATGCACAGAAGGAGAACTGATGAGCAAAGGGATCCAGACCCCCTGAATGTGGGTGTCAGTGAGGAGACCTTGGAAATCTATGGGGCCTCTTGTAGTGGATCGGTACTTAACACTACCATAGGAATGGACTTTAGGAGCTCTTCCCACATGGAGGGATACTCCCTGAGCCTAGACACAAGGGGGTTGGCCTAGGCCCTATTCCAAAGAATATGACAGACTTTGAAGACCCCCTATGGAAGGCCTCACCCTTCCTGGGGAGCAGAAGGGTATGGGATGGGTCGGGGTTAGTTGGGGGGGGCAGGGGAGGAGGGGAGGGAGAGGGACCTGGGATTGACATGTAAAATAATTTTCTTGCTAACAAAAAAGAAAAGAAAAAACTATACTGAATGGAATAAAATGAAGTAAATTCTCAAAAAAAGAAAGAAAGAAAGAAAGAAAGAAAGAAAGAAAGAAAGAAAGAAAGAAAGAAAGACACATGAAAGCTGGCCAGAACTTATTATTCACAGCAAAGCCCTGAGTGGAGTTTTTACACAGGGGCATGGAGCTACTTCGAAGGTTGAAGCCCACAGACTAACAAATATGAAACCAGAGCACTAAGTGCCTACCAAAACCTGGAGAGATGTCACATTAGTAATTCTAACAATTTACCTGAAAGTTCTAGAACAAGAAGAAATAATACTCAAAAAGAATAAATGGAAGAAATAATCAAACTCAGGGTTGAAAACAGTTGTCATAAGAGAAACAAACAAAATGCAAAGAATAAATGAAGAGTTGGTTCTTGAGAAAAATCACCAAATGTAAACCTTTAGCCAAAATAACCAAAAGACATACAGAGGAAATATCCAAATAGCTTTTTTTTAATGACAACAAATGTTGGTGTGGATGTGTATAAGGAAACTACTTATTCATTGCTGGTGCAAGTATTAACTTGTACAGTCACTATGGAAATCAGTGTGGTGGTTCATCAGTAAGCTGGGAATAGATCTACCTGAAGATCCAGCTATATCATTCTTGGGCAGATACCCCCAAAGACACTTCATCTTACTACAGAGATAAGTTTACTCATCCATGTTCATTACTACTCTATTCATAACAGCCCTAAATTAGAAATGCTAGATATCCATCAACTGATGAATGGATAATGTATATTGGTACAGTTACACAATGGAATATTATTCAGCTGTTAAATGAAATCATGAAATTCTCAGGGAAATGGGTGGAGCTAGATAAATCATCCTGAGTGAGGTAACCCAGACCACAAAAAGACAAATGTTGCATATTTTCTCTTATATGTGAATATTAGCTTATGAATTTCAGTCGTGTGTGTGTGTGTGTGTGTGTGTGTGTGTGTGTGTGTGTGTTTAGAAAAACCACAGATATTAGGTACTTGGTAAGGAACAAGGAGGGAGGAAGTCATTTCCCCAAAAAAGGGGAATTGGAATATAGTTTTATTAAGGGATAAAGGAGAAACTAGAATAGGAGGATTAAATGGGGAGAGCAATGAGAGAGCAAGGCAAAGCAGGGAATACTGGACAGGACGACTAGCACTAAAGGGCTTTCGAAAAGCCATATGGAGACCTACTACTGTAGAAACTTCCTAAAATTTATACAGATATGAAAGGAATCTAAATGGAGACACCATATTATTTGGGAGACCATGTCCCAAGTAAAACCTCCAGTGCCAGAAATGGGTTATATTGAGTCATTAGCCAAAGGAGTACTATAGAAACTCCCAAATACCACAGGCTATTGACAAAGCTACTGGTTACCCTTCATAACCTGATAGTACTTATGTCATTGAACACTGAGAAATTCAGCTGGTGCCCAACTAGAAGCTTCACCCCTATTGACTAACTTTCAAAGTATCAGAAGGTACTTTGAACATGATCAGAGGAGAAAAGTAAATCATCAATTATCAACCAGCTACAAATCTGTGACCCATAACAGAGACCTGCCTGCAAGATATTCTAGTCTAATAGCTGCACAAATGTTATGGGAATAACAAAGCCCTTTGTGATT